CCTCTTAAAGTCATGCAAAAAAACGATCCCCCCAAGCAAGACTTGTAGCTTCTTCCAAAAATTGTGCACCCCCCCCCCATTTTTCCGATAAAAATTTGCCCACCCCCCCCTCAATTTCACCTGTCTTCTCTCTACCATACATTATGAACCCAACCTTAGCTGCTTTTTTCATAATTTCCAAATCCTTTTTCTCAACGAAAGTCTGTAGTTCCTCTCTAGAAACATTGGAAAATCTTTGCTTTTTTCCTTCGAGCTCCATTCATACTGGAAATTCCAGCAAAATACCTGCTTCCGCGTTTTTGTTTGTGATTGGTTCAAAATATCACACCACTTGCGTTTTTCACGTTCTGATCACGCGCACTTGTTTATTTCCACCATTCTTGTCACGTGTAACTTAGATCCCGACTTATTTCCTGGTCGGGATACATTTAGATTTAGCTAGTGTCACGTGGTCATCTTTGACTTTCAACCAATGAGAGTGTTCGTTATATCAGAAAATGTCGTAGCTATATAACAAATGCAGCATATTACATGGCTGCAAGAAGATATGGATTTTAACTTTAGATTTTAGCTTTTGAATGAGGTGATTGTATATAGGAACATGCGTAATAGGTAAATTATGAGCCTTGGCACTCTTCTTCAGTCGTTTCATACAAAGCTCGTAATTTACCTATTACGCATGTTCTAATATATTTTACCAGCCCATCCCACACGGCTTACCGCCTCATCTCTATTTGTATATAGGTTTAGTGACTAATTCTGTTTTTGAACGTTTTTTTTTTTATCTTAGTAAACTGTTGGCCATCTGAAAACGATGGACAGTGTGAGGTGAACATAGAGTATGAACTGTTACAAGACAACCTTGAACTTAAAGATGTGGTTATCTCAATACCCGTCCCGTAAGTAACACAAGATATTTGTTCTATTGTCTGTTTGACTTAATTGTATTGACCCACTAGATACACCTATTTCAAAAAACTTTGTCACCGCTATACCTTAGTATTGAGACTGATTCAGTGTTCTTCGTAGTTGATGAAACCATTTCCTTCTCGGAATGGCATATCACTTTTGACGATGACAATATATTTTGAAATAGGTGTACATGAAGAAGTGCATACTCTGGGGTCTCTGGTTTTATTCCTGGACCCATCATCACAAGGATTGATCTCTAGTTTTCCTCGCACCGAACCTTACCCACAAATTTCAAAATTCTATCAATCTTTGAATTAATCATGCTCTGATTTAGATCAGCCCAGGGTTATTTCAGGGTTTGATTTTAAAATAATGTAATTGTGAAAGGAAAGACCCCATTTATTAAAGTGCTACTCTGACGAAAATCACTTAAACTTGGATTCAGCTGAAACTTCCTAAGAATACTCTTTAAAGGTCCAATAATCACTGTATGAAGTGTTTTCTCGATATTCAGGACGAAAGTATGATATTTTTACGATTATTTTTTGGAGTCTGTGACGTCATAAACTCAACATCGAACATCGCTCCATACATTTCTTTGTAATTTATGATCAAAATATCAGTAGTAAAGGGAGAAAGAAATACCCAAACACTCCAAAATATAAATTATAGTCACATGTAATGTGAAATAAGCACATTAGCCACCCTTTGGGCTTCATAGGAATAAAATAAATTAATGATTTATATACAAAGAAATATATGTAGCAATGTTTGATGTTGAGTGTATGACGTCACAGACTCCAAAAAATAATCGTAAAAATTTCATACTTTCGTCCTGAATATCGAGAAAACACTTCATACAGTGATTATTGGACCTTTAAAGAGTATTCTTAGGAAGTTTCAGCTGAATCCAAGTTTGAGCGATTTTCGTCGTAGTAGCACTTTAAATTTTAATTGTAAAATATTGATCACTGTGACTTGTGCTGACACAAATGATGTTCTAGACATGGTGTTGGTGGTCCAGTTGTTGGTGAATTAGATGGAGAATATCACTACAACCACAAACAATCCCAGCTAGAATGGCAGGTTCCTGTCATTGATATCAGTAACAAGAGCGGTAGTATGGAATTTACCATTGCCGGCCATCCAGAGGACTTTTTCCCTGTTAATGTATCCTTCTTTTCATCTAAGACGTACTGTGATGTTAAGGTAAGTTGGAAAAAATCGACACAATATTCACAACAAACAATATTACTGCAACTCTGTTTATAGCCCCGTTTACACTGGCCATTTTTGCGGCCATTTTTGTGGCAATTTTCGGAAATATAAAATCTCATGTCTCATCCTTCAAAAGAGACACACGTCTAGGAAAATCTTGGTATCCTGAATAAACTTTACAAGTAAATTCTTTACCATTATTTATTATGGACAGAATCGCCAAAAAATCGCAGCAATAATCGCCGCAATTATCGCTAGTGTAAACGGGGCTTATCTTTTCTATCTATATTCTCCTAAACCAACATTTTATGACTTCTGTTATGCAAGGGATTAGTAAGAAGAACTTGGAATTTCATCATGCTATTTGTTGTGTACTGTACAGTATATGTGCATATGTAATAATGGAGTTTTTTAATCTAGGTGACCGAAGTTACAGGTGTTGAAGATGAAAAACCCATCAAGTTTTCACAAGAAGTCTCTTTTACTGCAGAAAAATATGAAATTGTATAAGAATAAGAAGCAAATGAAGTATAATAATATGACCAATTATTTGAAATACAATGGATAAACAGATAGGCTGTACAGATACTAAACCACCTCAAGTACAAGTAACATTTACTATATACTGTTGTCATTGTAGAGAAAATCTGTGAACAGTGACTCAGTGTTGTCATGTCAACAAGAAAATTCAAGAACAATGGCTGTTGCCATAGTGATAAGGTGGCTTTTAAGAACTCATGTAATTAGTAAATATCCTGATTAGTTCACCCAGTCTTTAAGAAGACTGTTTTTGACGTACATTATAAGATGGACAGCTAGTAGATGTTTGGTGGGATGTTAACTTATAAACTACCCTACTTTATAAATCCTAAAAACTATAAAACTACCTTTAAATCAACGTACCGCACACGAATAAACACAAGGAAATTCTATTGTGATCTATTAAAGTTATCAAAACTAATATGTATTTGGTCCACAAACACACATCAACTACTGTAAATGAAGTTTTATAAATTGATGCTATCAGGGGTGACGTTACACTGAGGTGCATTCTGTACTCACTAGGGGAAGGGTAGGTAGGTCGTAATCAAGAGCTTAGAATTTAGATGTGTAAAGTGTTTGTAACCATAAACATTAAATTTTACAGAGGTAAATTCATTTATACTAGAACTGTGTTAGTTAATAAATGTTGATTATACATGCCTTTAGGCAACTTGTTCTGCAGGCCCGTTGCTAGGACCTTGAAAGAATGGGTTCGTTTTTCTACCAATCTTAGTTGTGCCATTTGTATAGGAATGCGTATGGTTTTAAGTGCAATTTGGGTTACATTTAAACGAGTGGGTTTTCAAAGAGTTCAAAAATGCACGAGCCGTAGGGCGATTGCAATTTGAGCTCTTTTAAAATCAATCCATTTATTCCTCGTTATTCTTGGAATAGCATTTAGGTGCCCCTCATTTAGAGTAGGCTAAAGGTGCTGACACGGTGCAACATTGCAAGCAACAAATTTGAATCGGGATGACACATTGCAACAAAATCACGCAACATCGCTTGTGTCAGCCTGCTATGTTAAGACATTTGGTCAGCAGTTATAAATTTGGTGCAAGTTGATTGGCTGGAAATTTCAAAATGTTGCAGGTTATGTCGCAGTTGTGTTCACACGATGAAATTTGTTGCGCGCAATGTTGCAAGAGTAGAGCGCGATTCAAATTCATATTTGTTGCATGCAACAAGTTTCAGGGGTAGACATGCTGCAACAGTCCTGTTGCTTAAGACACGGTACAACATTACACACGACGGGACTGTTGCACGCAACATTGCATGCAATAAATCCGAAGCATGCTTTGGTAACGAAACAACGAAACTCGGTAGCCGACATTGATGGGATGTTACGGTCATCAGACCACGTGGTACGTGACTTAGGAGCAAACAATTGCCCTATTTCACTATGACGTCACATCAAAACAATACTCAACAATCAATTGTTTAAACGCAAAGGATCATGGTCGTCGGAGGGGGTCAAATCAACGCAAATTCACCGAAAATAGTTCTAAAACCCGTACCAATCCACGAAGAGAAGTAGAATAGCCAGCAAACGCTCAAAATATTTTAAAGTACATATTAACACATATCTAAAAATCAGGCCATTTTAGATTAAACTGTTTCGCTAGGAGCATATTTGGTTGAATTTTCTATTGGATTTGTCGATTCTATCCCCCACATAAACAAGCAGTGACGTCAGTGAAATAGGGCAATTAGCGCCGAATTTTGCCAACAGTCATGCCTTACGAACAACTGCAAGTAATCATGAAATAACATTAACTGTTAAATACTATGCTCACCGCTTTTAGGCTAGTCAAATCAAGATCAAGATGGAGAGATCATCATTCCTTTTTTCACTCGTGGATATGCGAAGCGTAGAAACGAGTCTTGCGGGAGCCTTATATGCAAATGTTCATTCACTCACCCAGACTGTTAGCAGATCAATATTTAAGGTGACTGCCTACTTTTGGAAAACGATTTAAACTTTTTTTTAAACTTCGATTTTCCGAATTGAAATTTAATGCTGATTCCAAATCTGGAAAGAAAAATTGGGTGTCCTGAGCTTGCTTTCGAGATAATCAGCATTTAATGGAAGCCTACGCGCGAGCTTTTGGAGCAAAACTTGCGCCACCGGAAGTGATTAGAAAAAAATTAAGATTAATAAGAATAGTTATTTGCAGACTATATGATTGCACGAATGACGGCTAGTCAATCATTCTACAATAATACATGGATATTTTCGACAAAAAGACAAAGAGCTACATTGATTTGTCATATTTTGTAGTTTCGGTGCTCTTAAAAAATCTCACTAAGTCGAACAAAAATCCCTACAAAAATCTATTTTTTCATGTGTTACTGATTTAAACTTTTTCTAAAATGTTGATATAACCTAGATTTTTAGGAGTTTTTTTCGAATGAGCTATAAAAAATAGAGAGTCCCGTGCAAAATGTGAGGGTTTTGCCCTGTTGAAGCTCAAAACACGTATGGTTCTTCAATAAAAACTTTTAGATTTTTCAGCGGTTTTTGAGCGCGCGCTCATCGTGGGCTCAATTCGAAAGTTCAAAAGTAGGCAGCCACCTTAACGATCCTTTGGTTATCCATATTAAGAGTTTAACGTTTATGTATAGATAATTTTTACCGCAATCAAAGTTATAAAATAGATATGATTCTGCAGCAAAACAGAAAATAAGCCGGCTAGACATAAGATATACGTAGCGGCTGTGGGGGAGACTATAGGCCCTATAAACAACAAAACCAAACTGATAATTCATTCATTAAAATATTTTCATTTACATCCAGGACTTCTAAAACGAAAAGCATAAAAATTTAGCATCGATTTTTGCTTACCAGCTTTCATGTTGATGCAGTTTTCTCCTGAAAAAGTCCGGAAATCTCCAAAATTTCAAGTTAAATGAAAGACATCCATTGTAATTTTTACTAAACCTGATATCGTGTTGAATTATTTGTAGTTATCTTTCATTTTTCAAAGTAAAACCAACCAAAAAAGCAAAAAAATGTCGACCATAGAGAACTTTGTGGAAGGATTTTTCAAGAACAAAACTAGCCCAGTGGGGTGGCTGGTGGTGGGTGGTGTACACGTTACAAAAATCCTGTGCGGGAGAGTAATAAAGTCGAAATTCTTTCTCGCCCGAGCCCTACGCAGGTGGTAACCTTGACATAACATGGCAGAAAATTTTCTACAAGCGAAAAATTTTCTGCACGAAAATTTCACTCATAGAAATCTTGGAGGAAGAGCCAAAAGAGTTTTAAATAAATGAATCCCCCATGATAGGAATCCTTTTGATCAAGTTTTTTGTGGAGTTCTAGGTTTAACAGACGATGAAATCGTGGTTTAATGTCTAAGGCCCTGTCCACACGTATCCGGAAATTTTTGTATCCGCAAATTTTTTTTTTGCGGATACGGGTTGCGCCCACACGTGTCCGGAAATTTTTGTATCCGTACCCGCAAATTTTCGAAAACGGTCTCCATAGTGGAAATTTTCGAATGCGCTCCGAATACGGATACGTGTGGACGGTCGCATCCGTAAATTTTCGAATACGCTGACGTAAACACGATTTTGCGCATGCTCAATAAGAAAAACTATCCGTCAAAGGGACTAGGAACTAGCGTGTATCAGGGCGGATCAAGAAATTTCCGGATACGTGTGGACAGTGAAAACGATTCGAAAACGATTTGAATACGCTGCGTGTGGACGCGAACATTTTCGTATCCTAAAAAAAAATTGATACGTGTGGACGGGGCCTAAAATAGCACACGACAAGGAATAAAACGGAAGTCAAGCGTGAATAATAAACAAGAAGCCTTGAGCGAAAATAGTTGTGAGCGTACTTATTTTTATTTGAATGCCTTAAAACCCTTCAATGCATATGAAATTAAAGCAGAATATTTGTAAAAGTTACATCTTTTCGCGACTTCATTTAGAAAAAAATCGTTCGACGAATTTTTGAGTGCCGCATTCATCGATATTTTCTATAGCTTTTAACATCAAATGGGGTCATTTAGCTTCATATCAAAAAATCCATAACGTTAGAAAGAAAGTCACAATTTGATTCATACTCAATAAGGACAGTGTCTATATCCGTACCTATATTCTAGCTACTGAAAATATTGAATCCACTAATTTAAAGTCCCGATTTTGAGAGTATAAAGTTGACACGCTGGAAATAATAGTAAAAGTCCATGAAAATATTTATCGCGTAATATTTGGAAAACGCTGTCATACGTTTTTTTCATATTGCGATACGTTGGGTGTCTTGATGAATACTATCGACTGGTGCAAGTAGTTTTGAAAGTTTAGGTCTAGTTTTCGAGAAAATAAGCGGTAAACGACTTCTATGATGTCATCATTACGTCATAATGAAAAGGCCGCTTTAAACTAATTTATCATTTTTGAAACCTTTAATCCTTTCCTGACATTGTGTGAAACGTGCTTGCAGATCGTGTTATTCAAGAGGAAGTTGTACCCGTTTCAATGCGGCTAGGTGTGCCAGACCAAAACTACCCAGAGCCTCCTTATGAACTGATTCTTTCGATATTTGTTCGACTGCCAGTCGGTTCCATGTTTCTGTTTATTAATATATACTTTGAAAAGTTTTACACGTATCACCAAGGCGGTAGTACTGATCCATATATAGACTCTTCCACAGTCTCTCGCTCGTCCGTTCCGTCTCCACGCTTAGAGACTGTAACGTCACAATGACCGAAAGGACTTATGGGTCCCGAAAACTTGGACCCAGCGTGCTTTGGGAACCAAATTACTCGTGCAGTCTCTCTCGTTTCAATATTTTCAAGATGGCGGCGAAAACGAGAGACGGTACGGACGAGCGAGAGACTGGAAGAGTCTAATCCATATATTATTATGTTCTTTATACAATTAAAATAGCTTCGTGAGCAAAATAAATGGTAACCAATGAAAGCCGTCATCGATTTATTACAGGATTTGCTCAAAATAACAAAGAACTAAGAAAAGTACAAATTGGAATCAAGAACTATCTTGTAACTGTTAAACTGAGGCGATTTAAATCAATCGAAGTACTTTGAGTTTGTGTTATTACGAGGTCAAAAAAAAAAAAATTAAAAAAAATGCAAAACCCTGTTCCATTGCATCCGCCATCTTGTTTCATTGAGTATAACCGCTGACCATAATTTCACTCCATTGAGAGCTTCTTTGCACGGAAATTTAGTTATTAGTCGTTTTTTCATCTGACTCGGATTACTAACGCCCTCCCAGACACCAAAGGCCTGAGCTTAAAACATCAAAGCATCGTTCACGCTATTTTACACCATAATGCTTTTGTTACAAAAACGTGCACGACGTGGAAAAATTTCGCTATCATCTTTATTGCACTTTTTACGTGAAGACATTGGTGCTAGAAAAATTTTCAACAATTGCCTTGAATAACTACACCATTACAATCAAACCACCACAAGCGTTATAACACGTAGAAGTCATTAATGACTTTATTTTTGGATTCTTGATTTCATTGTTCGATTCGAACATTCATTATTGTAAACGAATCTTCAAGGAGTAGCATATACGAAAGCCAATTCATATATGCAGCTAAAATGCAAGAGCAACTTCGAGCAAAGTTACAGCCATTCTCAATCACGCACCCCGCTCTAGCGATTGTTTTGTCGCGACGAAGAAGCTCTTGGTGGACGTCAATCAAGGCGTTTGTTATCATGGAAACGTCTAGTGATTGACGTCCATTAAAACCTTCTTCGTCGCGACAGAAACAATCGCTAGAGGGCGCGTGTGGTTGAGAATGGCTGTAATCGTGTTTTCAATTTATTATTTTTTGAATATTGAATATTCGTTTTCAATCATGAATGTTTGAATCGAATAATGAAACCAAGAATCCAAAAAGTCATTTATGACCACTACGTGTTCACGCTTGAGGTGATTTGACTGTAATAAGATATAAGAAGATATAAAATTGATTAAAAACCGTGTTTGTTACTTCTTTTTTTTTTTTTTGGGACAAAATATTCACAATTTCTAAATTGAATTATTCGATTAAAAACTGATAAGAAAGAAATTCATGCATCTTTTAACAAAAGTAGTGACGTCTCTCGTCCGATATAAAAATATGGTCATAAGTTTAAGGGAATTTGTCTATTCCATCCAGTATATATTCCATCTATAACTGATTGTCTAAACTTACACAAACCTCCATTCCGTTTATTCTATTTCAAATAACTGTATTCTATTCCAATAACTGTACTCTACTCTAGCCGTGAACACTCGAGTTTATTTTATTTTATATTTGTGTAAATACACTTCTATTTTTTTCTTTCTCTTTCATCATTTCATCTCCTTGAATAGCTCTTATAGACTTTCTATTGTTTTCGATTCGTTATCTAAATGGCTGAAAAACTGGAGTGTACACGGCTAGAGTAGAACGACAATAATCAATCTGTTCAACCTGTTTAGCAAGGCTTGTAATGAAGTTAATAAATAAAGAAACGAAAAGCCGAGCCTGCGTGGGCATCCCGGTAAAAGAATTACCTACGCTTATTGCACTCCAAGAGGAAAGGAGGAACATTCTCTCTGTTTTTTATCATTTGTAGTGAACAAAGGTGTTTTCGTATTCGTTTGAACAGTTTTTCCTTCATTCTCTATTCTTCTCCATTTAATTTCTTCTCCATCCAAGATCCCTTTCGTCCTTCCTATGACGTCAGAAGGGACTGACCTGTAGCTCTGTTGATATACCAGCAACTGAGAATAACATAAAATGCGATCAGAAATGTACAGGCGATATAGGCTGCATTCACACGGAACTGGACAAATCTTTAACCCGTCAAAAGGTTGTACGTTTAAAGTGCAAATGAACCCTT